TGATTCACATTCCACACCAGGAAGTGGACATGGCATGTCTTGGTTTAGGGGGACAGTGACATTTTATACAAATTTACTCCTGCTGGTATATTCACTTTTTTTATTATGGTTAAAATACATGTAACAAAATATATACCATCTAAATATATAATACTTTTTAAAAGCACACTTTATTTGGAAAAAAAAAAAAATTGAATGAATGGGAATTCCCCATAACTCCTCCAGTAGTATTACTAAGCTTGCCATGCTGGCCAAATGAATTAGTTCATGCCACAGGACAGACAGGGCAGTGCCACACTTGCTGGCAAGAGAAATGGTTACAATTAACACTCTGTAGGGTTACATTTTGGAAGGAAGTTTGGGCAATCTACTTCCGTAGTGATACTGCCTCAGGAACCTAAGGAGGGGTCGCTATGAGTTGAATCCGACTCGATGGCAGTGAGTTTATTTGTTTGTTTTGAGGGTTACATCTATCGATGTAAGTATAACCACTCACAACCGGAGTGGTAGAACCCTGTTATCTTTTCTGTAATGAGTGGCTTTGGCTTTTGGATGAATGCAAGACCCCTCTCTCCATAGACTGCTGCCACCTTGAGTATGTGTTGTGGATACTTGCCACTGAGTCAGTTCTAACTTTTGGAGTCCCCATGTGTGTCAAAGTAGCATGTTCTCTATAGAGTTTCCAGTGGTGATTTCTGGAAGCAGATCAATAGGCCTGTCTTCCTAGGCTCCTCCAGGTGGATTTGAACTGTCATGCCTTGGTCTAGTAGTCAAGTAACACAGTAGTGTTATCCAGGGACTCCATTGTTGAATATATAAAATGCCTGGTATACTGTTGTTTTCGTGTGGCAATGAGTGGATTCTGGACTAGATTCCAACTCATAGTGACTGTTCTGGTTACCTAGTGCTGCTCTGACAAGAATATACCACGAATGGAATGGCTTGAACAAACAAGTTTATTCTCTTACAGTTTGGAGGCTTTAAGTCCAAGTTCAAAATGCCAGGCTCTAGGGGCTGGGTGAAAGTCCCTCAACCTTGGGCTTTAGCTCTGCCTCCTGGTCCCAGCCCACTGGAGCTGGAGGCTTTTCTTCACTCAGACAGCTGCTGGCTGTTGAGACTGACAAACCCAAGGTTGACAAGTAAAAAGGCACAGTCCTGATGTTATCAAACCACACAGCAGGCCATTAATTCAAGTCCATTGAAAATCCCAAGGTCGGCAGAGCATGGCAGGCTGCAGAACAATGACATGGCTACATGCAGGGTTCAAGCATGCCATCAGCTAGAGACCGCTCCCTAAGGCTTCTCCTTATATACAGGAAGCAGACCACATCCCTAAAGCAGCTACTCAGCTGCTCACAGTAGATTCCACCATGGAGTTGATTACCAGTCTCATCATGGGGAGTACTACATCCAGCTGCCCAGTCACTCAACCAGGCCCAGCCAAGTTGACATGCAAACTGAACTACCACAGTGACCCTATAGTACAGAGCAGAACCACCCTGTGGGATTTGTAAGGTTGTCATCTTTACAGAAACAGACTGGTGCATCTTTCTTTTGTGGAGTGGCTGGTGGACCTCTGACATTTTACTTAGCAGCCAAACACTTAACTATTTGTGCCATCAGGGCTCTTTGCTGATACACTAGGCACTCTGTGTCCATAGGATGGGAATTGTGAGGCTTGTAGCTGCCAGACACCGGTGGTTCAGAGAGGTGGAGTGACCTGCTCTACATCACACAGTGGTGCTTTTCCCAGAACATCCTTATGTTGATCAAAATAGATGAACCGTGATACTACTTTGTCATATAAATAAAACCATGCAATATGCTGTTTTATTTCCTAGGACTGTAACACATAGTTTTCACAAATCAAAGAGAGATTCTGGCTTCAGTTTTAAATGCACACATAGTATATTATAAAGCAGTTATTAATAGTGATAAAGTTTCAAATTAATGATACAGCACTCCAGGAATTTGAGTCGGTTCCTGACTTTATTTACGAAAAGCAAATGAAGCAGAAACCACTCAAGTCTGTAGGTGGTAAATTGTCCCCAATTCCCACCAGGAGAGACAAAAACATCCTTATAAATAAAAGGACCATTTAATTTTTAAAAAAGTAATTCCCCTAAGCCTAGGCATTTGGGATTTTTTTTTTCTTAAACCACAAACATATGTTTATTTTAACAAGATAACTATAACTGAGCTCTAACTGCTTTAGAAGAAAATTACAATTGTGCAGAGATGAGGAAGGTAATCACTTCCTCGTGAGGTTGCTTACAGCCTGCCTCCACAGCAAATGCAAGTACTCATTTTGAGAAAAGAAACCAGACATTTCTGCCACTTTTAGAATTAAGTGTTAGTTTTTATCAGGTACAAGTGTTTTCTTTAATGATCTTAAATTTAATTACTCCTTGGGCAAAATTTGCCAGCTTTCTCTCCAAAATGTCCCCTGGATCTGTCCACTTCTTATCTCCTCTGCAGCCATCACCTGGGCCAGGCCACCATCAGCTTATGCCTGCATGACTGCAGGGCCTCCTCCCTGCGTCCACTCCTCTCCCCACAGTCTAGGATCCACTCAGCAGCCAGCAGAATTATTTAAAGTGCAGATTGAACCCCTCATTCTCCAGCCTGAAACTTTCCACAGTTTCCCATCACCCTTAGACCTCAAATCCAAATTTCTTACTGACCCTACATGATAAGACGGCCTAGTCTCCCCCTTAGCCTGACAGGCCTCTCCCTGCCCGCGAGCTCAGCAACACGGGCTTCCTTTCAGGGCCTTATTCCACCCCCAGAGCTTTTGTTCTTGCTACTCCCTCTGCCTGGAACACACTTCCTTCAGAGTGTCACATGACTGATTCCTTGGTGTTACTCACACCCTAGATCCATGTCAACTCCTCAGAGAAGACTCCCCACCCACCCTGCCTCACAGAGCCCTGCACATTTGTTCCCTACTACATCCCCCCTTTCATTGTCCTCATACTTCTCACTGACGACATGTGTGTCTTATTTATTTGTTAACCTGACAACTGCTGTTGAGTTGATTCTGACTCACGGGAACCCCATGTGTGTCAAAGGAGAACTTCTCCAGAGGGTTTTCTTTTTTCTGCAGGTTCTTTCTTTTTTATTCAGTCAACCAATCTGGCAACATTGCATCCCTGTCCCCACAAGTAAACAGCTGCTGTAGAGCTGATTCTGACTCACAATGACCCTGTGGTTTTCCAAGGCTGACTTTTCAGAAGCACATCTCCAGGCTGTTCTTCTGAGGGGTCCAACCCTCCAGCTCGCAGCCTAGTATGTTAATCGTTTATACCACCAGGGACTCCCGTATCCACAGCCCTATGGATATTAAAGGGCTGGATCTGAGGAGAGGTAAGGACTATGCAACTCACCACAGTCTCTGCCACTCCCCACATTCTCCCTGACGAAGGGGCTGGTGTTGGTTGCTTATTATCATTTCCATATCATTTCAAATGCTGCTTTTTCAAAAGTAAATCACCATGCAGGGTACATCAAGCTCAATTGGCATAACATAGTAGTACACAAAACATTTTTCTACCTCCTACTTTGGCGGGTAGTGACTGGGATCTTAAAAGCTTACAAGCAGCCATCTAGATGCAACAATGGGTCTCTCCTCGTCCACAGCAAAGAAGAATGAAGAAAACCAAAGATTCAGGGAAACAATTAGTCCTAGCGACTGGTACACGATGTGATCCTCAGCCTATACAACTATGAGAACAGAAGAATTAGATGGTGCCCCGGCTATCACTGTCAACCACTCGGAGGAGGATCTATGTAGGAAATCCTGGATAGAGAGGAAGAACGATGTGGAACAAAACTCAAAATCATTTGGGAAAAAAAAAAAGCAGGGAGGGAGGACCAGGTTTGCTGGTCTGATAGAGCCTGGTGGAACCACTGAGACTATGGCCCCTAGCTGCCCTTCAGGTCTGGAATTGAACCCACACCTGTGGCTTCCAGCCAAGCAAAAGACAGGCATATGAGTTGAACATTTACCTGAGGTAGATACGCTCCTTGGAGAGAACAATCATGAGAGAAAGAAGGACTGCTTATGCACAGGAAGACAGCTCAGGGGGCAGGAGTGCATGGAGGGCTGGACACAGGGAAGAGGTAACTCTCAGGAGGAAGTGGGAGGGGAGCTGTTGCATTGGGGTAAATTGTGGTCAATGTCATGAGACAAAGTGTAAATTGCCAGGCCTTTCTTCCCAGGTGCCTCTGGGAGGACCTGAACCACCAATCTTTCACTTAACACCCAAGTGCCACCCAAGGACTCACGGTTTAGAGCAGTGTTTAATGTTTGCCTAGTGAATGAATGACTAACCAAATAAATCCAGAAGAGAATAAAAGAAAGAGAAAGTAAAAAGTCATAAAGGAACTCATTGTGCCAATGATAAAGTGACACCAGGAGTGTGCTGTTTTGACTATTACCTAGCTGGATTATTCAATCCACGTGATAGGACCCCTTGGAGCCCCATGCTGTGTGTTCTCATTTCATCTTCCCAACACCCTGCAAGTAAGCATTATTGTTGACTCAATTTTAGTAATGAAGAACTGAGACCGGAAGGGCAAGGGTGATCAGGGAAGTGCTCCTAGATGGAAAGGGCCAACAGTCAGCTCAAGCGTTGTGGCCGAGAGCCAGCAGCCCACCACTCCCTCTGCTCCACGGTCCTACCTGTTGAATGTCTGTTATCCTCTGGACTTGTTTTCTGAATGAACTTCCCATCACAATGGACCTTGGTACTCATGACCACGACAACTTGCCAGCTCTGTGCCAGGCACCTGGCAGACATGGACGTCAGGGAGCCCAGGTGTGGCAAGAGCAGCAAGCTTCATGTGACAAAGTTGGGGATGAGTGAGTGGGGCTGACTTGGGGGGGGGGTAGTTAAGGTCGGACAGGTGAGTGGGAGCCAGCCTGGGGCAGGGCACCTTGAACGGCAACAACCGAGGACTCGCTTGTGTGGGGCTCACCTCTCTTCTCTCTGCCGCAGGATGGGGTGCGTGAAGTCCAAGTTCCTCTCACCAGGAGGCAAGGTTTCAAAAACCGAGCCCAGCACCACCCTGCAGAGCCCCACGTACGTGCCGGATCCCACGTCCTCGGGCAAGCGGGTGAGTGGGGGGCGGGTAACAGGGGGCCCAATGTACCAGTGGCTACCCCACCACTGCCCCTAATAGCCGACTGGGCTCGAAGGGTGAGCAGTATGTGTTTGGGGTGAAATAGAGCTGCCCAGCCACCTGCTCTAACTCTCCAAGACACAGCTGCACTGAGCGTCTGGGACAAGGAAGTCACTTCCCTTTGTCCTGTGGTCCAGGCCCTGGCCAATCAGCATGGGCTCCACCGGCCAGGTCTGAGTGACCATTGCAGAAGATGGTGTCAGCAGTAATGGTGGTATCAGTTTCATGGTGACACTTGTAGCAGTAATAGTAACACAACAATGACATATAACAGCAATCCTATCAGCAGAAACACTAGTAAGAATAGTAACAGAGCATAGCATGAACCAAGCACTGTCTTAAGCATGTTACAATTATTAACTACTCTAGTCCTCACAATAATCCCATTGTAAGTAACAATTTTTATTATACCCATTTTACAGATGAGGTACAGAGAGATTAAATCACTTGCCAAAACTACATGGTTAGTAAGGAGTGCAACCGGGAGTCAAACTTGGGCAGTGTGAGTTCCAATGTACCAATGACAGGAGCAAGAGTAACAGAGGCAGAAAGCAAATACTAATGTTAGGAACAGTAGTAGTGGTGGGAATAGTGATGGTAATGTTGTTGTTGTTGTTGTTACGAGCCGTCGAGTCAGACCCGACTCATAGCAACCCTTCCTTGGGTTTCCGAGGCGGTATCTCTATGGAAGTAGATTGCCCAACCTTCCTTCTGAGGAGTGGCTGGTGGGTTTGAACCACCAGCCTTCTGGTAAGCAGTCAAGTGCCTTAGGCACTACGCCACCAGAGCTCCTAGTGATGGTAATAGTAGAAGTAAAAAAAAAAAAAACCCACTGCCATTGAGTCGATTCCGACTCATAGCAACCTCCATTGGGTTTCCAAGGCTATAAATCTTCATGGAAGTAGATTTCTCAGTCTTCCCTCCACAGAGTGGCTCATGAGTTTGAACCACCAACCTTATGGTTAGCACTCAAATGCCTGAAGCACTAGGCCACCAGAGCAATAGTAGTAATGAAAGTAGTGGTTGTAGCCATCATAGTAGCAACACTAGTAATACTAGTTGCAGTAGTGATAGTATTGAGACCAGTAACAGCAATAATGGTGGTAACAATAATAACCGTTAACAGTACTGGGAATAGTAATGGTGATGTCAGTACTAATAGTAGTAGTAATAAAACCAAAAATCAAACTCACTGCCATCGAGTCGGATCCAACTCATTAGCAACCCGTCCTTGGGTTTCCGAGGCTGTATCACTATGGAAGTAGATTGCCCAACCTTCCTTCCCAGGAGTGGCTGGTGGGAGTAGCAGTAATAGTTGCAATAATTGTTACCATTCGTTGGATACCTAGTACATTCCAGCCACTGGAGGGAGGTGTTTCCATATAATTGATTCTCATCAACAGCCGTGAGGCAGGAGCTGTCCTACTTACGGTAAGGGTCACTAAGGCTCAGAGAGGTTAAATGGCTCCCTGAGATCACACAGCTGGGAAGCAGTAGAGTCAGGTCTTTCTAAGCCCAGAGCAGGGGCTCTTTCTACTCTGTGTCCTGTTAGTCCATTCCCTTCTCTGAGGTTGTCTAGGGGAGTGCAGCCTCCGCTTGCTGTTTCCAGACAGGACCTCACTCCTTCCTGCGGGGTGCACCCTTCCCCTGTCAGGGTGTGCCATCCTTTACAAAGTTCATCTTTGTGTGAGCAGAGGCCTGTTACCCATTACCATTATTTCTCCATCCCAAACCTACTTCTTACCTCACCCTCAACACAGCCACTCTTTGCCCAACAACAGCCTGTTGAAATAGAAGGCAGAGATCTTGGCCCAACCCACTCACCCCAATCCTTCCAGTCACTTCTCCCTGGACATGGGTTGGTTCCGGGCTCCTCTCCATCCTGCTTTCCCTTCTCCAAGCACGATCCTAGAACAAGACTGATTTTAGAAACAGGAGTATAAATTGAATAGCCACTTCCCTCCCTCTAACCAAAAAACCAACCCAACTCACTCCCATCGAGTTGATTGTGGCTTATAGTGACCCCAATTGGGTTTCCATGGCTGTAAATCTTTACGGAAGCAGACTGCCTTATCTACTTTTGTGGAGTGGGTGGTGGGTTCAAACCACCGACCTTTGATTAGCAGCTAAATGCTTTAACCACTGACCACCAGAGCTCCTTCTCCCTCTGCAGTCAACTTCTATTAATGCAGCCTTTGAGTACCTAAACTTCCCACACTGGTGACATCCTGAGCAGACCACACGCATAGCCTAATCACTTCCAGGTCTGCTTCTCTTAACCAACACAGCCCTGGGCCCTTTCTGTGGTGAGGGCTCTATGTTGTCAGGTTCTCTGAGACCCTCTGGCCTGTTGCCAGCAGGGAACAGAGGGTTTTCCCCCCACCAGATTTAGGTTTTCCTTACCAAGTGTTAGATTTAAGGGATGCTGTCATCGGCTACTTGGCTACTTATCGTTCCCCTCCTGCAGGATGTTAGTTCAGCAGTAAGTTAGTCAGTATTCCTCAGAGAAAGGATTCTGAGGTCATATCAGTTTGGGAAACACTGGGCAGAATAGGCCCCTTTACTGCAGGACTCCTTCGAGCCTTTGTGAATATTTGTAATGACTAGTGTGACTCTCTAAAACAATGGTGTCCTCCTCAGTGTTTCAAAACTGCTTCTTTAAATTAATGGTTACCATATTTTTATACAAATAATATGTACCTTCACTATCACTTCCTCCCCTCCTCCAGGTATTTTTGTAAACATGCTATGCTAAGTTTTTTAGAAAAAAGAATTGGTATAGCAGCTTATAAAAATACCTTGCAGGAGGAAGGGAGTGATTGGCAAACAAACTTAAAAGGCACATGTTATTTGGGTAAAAGCATGGCAATTATAAGTATGACACACAATACATTCTCCTTGAAATGAAAAAACAAACAAACATAAATTACAGATAAAACTACAATTTCTACTGATTAAAAAAAAAACCACCAAACTCACTTCCATACAGTTGAATCGACTCATAGTGACCCCTCCTTGGGTTTCTGAAGCAGTATCATTACAGAAGTAGATTCCCCAACCTTCCTTCTGAGGAGTGCCTGGTGGATTTGAACTGCCAGCTTTCTGGTTAGCAGTCAAGTGTCTTAGACACTGCACCACCAGAGTTCCCTAAATTGCTCCCTTCCATAGAGGTATCAACTGCTGGCAGGTTGGTGTAGACCCTTGCTCACCTTTTTCATGGATTGTTACAAATTTTCATACCTAGGTAGTATATGTCCACAGAAACTATTTAGGATATGTGTGTTACATAAATGCATCATATTTATCATTCTGCAGAACCAACTTTTTTCACTTAACAGTCTGTCTTGGAGGTCTAATTGTGTCAGTAATGAAGCCCAACCTCTCCCTTATAAGGGCTGCTTGGAGCACCACAGTTTAGGCTAATACCCTTTGTGTGGATACTTAGGTTGCTTCGTATACATAATGGAGCCTTTATTCACAGGATATGTTGATAGACCTATGGTTTCTTCAAACACACCTTGGAAAATGCTGGTCTGGACCAAACTCCTCACTATGTGCCAGGGAAAGAATAAGGCAGCGTCCCCCAGAACAGCCAGGCAGAGGGCAGAGCCCCACAACTCAAAAGGTGTGGTTCTTGTGCAGGCTCTGCCCAGAGTGCTGTGGGGCCAAGGGCACATCCCCAGCCCTCTCTGAGCTTCCTCCTGTGACAGGCAGGGCTGGGATTCAGTGCTCTTGGATATCCTTGTCAACACAGCTCTTCCCTGGCTTCATACACACTAGCAGACTCATTCCTCTTATCTCTTCCTCACAGGGGATTAACAGCAACAGCCACCCGCCATGGTCCTCGGAAGGTAAGTATCTGCAGCAGAGTCTTGAATTACACAGAAAGTTAGGCCCTTAGTCCAGCCTTGAGTTAAAAACCCCAATCAGTCAAAAGCACACTTGAAAATCCCCTACAGTGTCCCTGAAGTACCTCACCTAGGCTTTTGCGTTTCTGTAACACCGTTCAGCAACATGAACAAAATACCTTAGACTCTAGAGCCACACCCAGCACAGCAAGTTGTTCACTTATATCATGAGACAGACACCTCAGTGGGTCCAGGGCTGGGTGCCAGGTGCCAGGATGGGGGACACCCAGGACAGTGCATGTAGCGGGGACACCCTCCCATGTGCCTCCCTTCCCAGCAGGTTCTGAGGATGTCGTCGTGATTGCCCTGTATGATTACGAGGCCATTCACCGCGAAGACCTCAGTTTCCAGAAGGGGGACCAGATGGTGGTGCTAGAGGAGTGAGTCCCCCTCCCCATCCACCCACCTCCAATAGTCAATAATACTCTGATTTTATGCTTTCATTAAAGAACCTGGTGGACTCTCTTATACTAGAGTGTAAATGACTGGTAAGAACATGGTCATACTAGAGGAGTTAGGGTTTGCTGTCGACATGGGTGAAAGCCACAGTGAAGAGGCTTGTGTACTAATGGTGCACACCCAGGCAGAGGGCCAGCACTTTCTCATGGAAGCCTTCCTGGGGCTCCCATGATTAAGCTACAGGCTTAGCTATGAATCAGGCCCTAGTGAGATGACCTTGCATTCAGAAATCCTTGGATCACTCCAGGTGGAGTTTGCCACCTCCAACCCTCCTACAGTCTTCACCACAAATGAGTACAGTGTCCAATGTGCTGGGGTTGGAGTGAGGGAATGATCATGTTTGGTCAGCTACAGAGCCCACTCCCTCTGACTCTGGGCCCCAGCTGAACCAGTATGAGTCTCCCATGGGCAAAGGGCCCTGCCTTGGTTGTGACTAGTGAGGCCAAGGCCACAAGTCATGGGAAGAAGAATGGGACCACAGGCCAAGGGCTGTGGGCTTTGATTCCAGACCATCAGATGCACAGTGGGGACTGTTGTAAAGACCCCTGCCCTAAACCTGGGGTACACACTAGGAGCCAGGACAGTCACAGCCCTGCCTCTTACCCTACTGGCTTCCTGGGAGTAGAAGTTATACCAGGTCAAGGTTGGGAGGCCCAGAAGAACCAGGGAGGTGATCCTTCTGCCCCTGACCTCTTTACTCCCTCCTGTCTCTCAGGTCTGGGGAATGGTGGAAGGCTCGATCCCTGGCCACCCAGAAGGAAGGCTACATTCCCAGCAACTATGTCGCCCGTGTTAACTCTCTGGAGACAGAAGAGTAAGTATTCCATTTTCCCACCATTCAGAAGGAAGCATGAGCAAAGCCAGTCTTGCCCCTACCCCAGGGCCTTTGCACTCCCTGTCTCTCTTGCCTGGTACAGTCTTCCTAGGGCTCATTGCCTGGCTGACTCCATCTCATCCTACAGGTCCCAGAGAAGCCTTCCTTGACCATCCCGTCTAAAGTAGCTTCCCTCTGTGATTCTCCCTCAGGGAACCCTGTCTTATTCCCTCTGAACACTTTTTACTAGTGAAAATGACCTAGTGTATCTAGTTGTTCACATGGGCATTGCCTGCCTTCCAGCTAGAATGGGAGCTCATGAGGGCAGGAGCCTTGTCTGTCTACTAGCTACATCCTCAGCACAAGCCTAGCATTCAGCAAGTACTTAATAAATACTTGTTGAATGAAGCACACGGTTGTGCTGAGGAGGGTCTTCTGAGAGGTGAGCCAGCCCACATCTGGCCAGTAATCCTCTCATTTGATTCACTCAACAAACATATACCAGTGTCTGCACCTTGCCAGGCCCTGTGCCAGGTGGGAATTATAAAAAGACAATTACATGCCTACCCTCAGAGAACCCCTGTAACCCATCATTCTTGACTGTAGGTTCTTTTTGTCTCATTTGACTCTGAAAGCAAAAACATTCATTCTTCATTTATTAATTCAGTGTTCCATCTATCTAACCACCCAACAGATGTTTTCTGAGTATCGGTTCAAAAGATGAGACAGTCTGCTTCTGTAAAAATTTACAGCCTTGGAAACCCTATAGGGCAGTTCTACTCTATCGTATAGGGTCACTATGAGTCAGAATCAACTCAATGGCAGTGGGTTTACTGTATACGTGGCCCTAGTCCAGGCATACTAGGTGAATCAGACTTGGTTATACTGTGTTCACAGTGTGGTGGGTGAGATTGGCAAGGAAAAACATGATTACACTAAAAAAAAAAAAAAAAAAGTCACCGCCATTGAGTCGGACTTGACTTGGGTTTCCAAGGCAGTATCACTATGGAAGTAGATTTAGAGGGCAGCAATAGATCTGATTAAGAACCAGCCAGTCAAAAAATTGAAAACTGATGATTCCCATGGCTTTATCTCCTTTGGCTAAGGGGCATTGTGAGTGTGGGATGCTGGCTGGTTAGAAGGCTGATAAAAATGAGAAGTTTGTTCTTTTCCCTTCTTGGTGTACATGAAACCCCTTTTCCCTGTGGAGTCTTCTCTTGTGGCCATGACACTGCTCCCATTGCTGACACTGCTACCCTGGGTGGCCCCTGCCCACCTTCAAACACTGCCACGGAGTCTTAGCTACTCCTTCTTCTAGGCTCTCTCCTGGGACATCCCACACTCTGCTCCCCCACTCTGGGCTCTGAACACTTACAGAATTCAGCACCACCTCATTCCTTGAAGGAAGCACAGTTGGTATGTTGTTGTTGTTATGTGCCGTCGAGTCAGACCCAACTCATAGCGACCCCTCCTTGTGTTTCCGAGGCAGTATCAGTACGGAAGTAGATTGCCTAACCTTCCTTTTAAGGAGTGGCTGGTAGGTTTGAACCGCCAGCCTTCTGGTTATTAGTCAAATGTCTTAGGCACCATGCCACCAGAGCTCCACCTTATTCCTCAAAGGCACCATAATTGCTTAGTGGGTACAGCAATACGTATGATGGGTTCTCATTTGTCTAAAAAGGCAGTAACATAAGTTGGTGGTTCTCAAACTTGAGTGGGTATCAGCTTCATCTGGAGAGCTGGTTAAAAACAGTGGTTTCTGGGTCCCATTCCCCAAATCTGATACAGAATTTGCATTTCTAGCATGTTCTCAGGTAAGGCTGATGCTGCTGGTCCAGGGACCCACTTTGAGAACCACTGTCCTAACTATTCATATAGATCCATCCAGCGCACTGTCACAGGTTCCTGTGTCCGTATCCGGGAACTTCCACTAGAGGTTGCCTCGAGGGAGGGGAACTGGGATATTTGAATCAGGGTGGGAAGAAGCATGCTTCCTCCCCAGCCTTCCTGCGCCCTGCCTTGAGTTAGGCAATACTTCCAAATGTTTCAAAATCCAAACTGTATGGAAGGGCATAGAGGAGACAGTGAAAAGTCTCCCTCCCTGACCCTAACCAGCCTCTTCTTTCCAAGAAGTGTCTCGTGGTCCTTCCCAGATGGCTTATATCTATTTGAGCAAATACGTGCATCCTCTTTTCATCTGCACAAGTGGTAGATACTGTGCACACTGTCCTGTCTCTTTTTTCCCAGTTACGTGTCATCTTGCCAATCATTCCACACAGCACATAGAGCATCCTTTTTCCTTTCTACAGTGTGTCCAGCATATAGAAGGTCCACCATTCATTTGGTCAGTCCCATCAGTGGTCACTTAAGTTGCTTCCAGTCTTGAGGTGCAATGAGTCTTCTTGTGTGTATGTCATTTCTTCCTTGTACAAGAGGATCAGTGGGATAACTCCCTACAGATGGAATTGCTACGGAGGCATTTCTTACTAAATACCCCTTTACATTGCTTGAATATCTTACTATGGTATGAATCACTTTACAAAATGAAAGCAAAGAAGGCAGGTGGGCAACATACTGTGGTGTAATAGAGCTTGGCCTCTGGAGTTGGATTGTCTGGATTTTAATCCTGCTGCCATCTCTTCCCAGCTGTGTGACCCCAGGAAAATTAATGGCCCTCTCTGTTCCTTAGTATCCTCAACTATAAAAGGAGTTGTTGGGTGGGTCACAAGAACTAAATGAATGTTAGTTGTCTTTCTTCTCAACTGATGGCAGAGGAGACAGGTCCAAAGAGGGAAAGCAATTTGCTTAAAGTCACATAGCAAGTTTGTAACAGGGCCAAGGCCTATTGACCTCTGGTCTGGGGCTTTTTCATCACAGCACATGTACCACTCCTCACCCTACTGAGGTAGGAATGGGTTCAGCCTCTACTGCTTAAAGCTTCCTACACAGTAGTACAAATATCCAGGTAAGTCAATTCCAACTCATAGTGACCTTATGTACAACAAATTGGATTCATTCTGATAAAACATCTGTTTTAATATAAAAAGCACGGTTGTTTCTCCCAAAAGAATCTTCGAGTAAAATTGATGCTGCAGGAAGCCATGCCCTCAGTATCCTGGTAAGCCCTGGCCCTTGCCTGGGTCTCACTGTGACCACAGGAGCCTGGTGTGAGCGAGGATAGGACTACCCACATCCAGACTCACATTCTGCGGCCTCTCCCTTCCACCAGGTGGTTCTTCAAGGGCATCAGCCGTAAGGACGCAGAGCGTCACCTCCAGGCCCCTGGCAATGTGCTGGGCTCCTTCATGATCCGGGACAGTGAGACGACCAAAGGTGACTCCACCCCTCCCCACTCAACCCGGCCCTTGATGACCTTCCAGGGGTACCAAGAGGGAGTCTCAGATGCTGACACAAGGTGGTGGCAGGCCTCTAGAGGGTGTTCTCTCTGACCCATGCAGGCAGCTACTCTTTGTCTGTGAGAGACTATGACCCCCAGCTCGGGGACGCAGTGAAACATTACAAGATCCGGACCCTGGATGGCGGGGGCTTCTACATCTCCCCACGGAGTACCTTCAACACACTGCAGGAGTTGGTGGCCCACTACAAGAGTGAGTCCTGCTCCAGGGCCATAGACCCACTGTGGTGGGCCTATCTCCTGGGAATCCTCAGCAGAGGCCTGCTGAGCTCTCCTTGAACCTCCCCTGACACATAGTTGCTGTGAATTCTTCTGAAACCTTAGGCCTGTTGAGCAGGAGGGCTGAGGTGGTTTCCCATCATACTCTGCTCTCTTGGGAATATCCTTAAAGGTGGCAACCAGTTGGAACATTGGCCACGTGCAGTGGACCAGATGGGAAGACTTCCTCCAAGGGGATGCCTGTAGCTGGCTGGGAGCTGGGTGCCCTCAACTGACCAGGGGATCTGTTTCAGAGGGGAATAACGGGCTCTGCCAGAAGCTGACAGTGCCCTGCGTGTCCTCCAAGCCCCAGAAGCCGTGGGAGAAAGATGCCTGGGAGATCCCCCGGGAATCCCTGAAGTTGGAGAAGAAACTTGGAGCTGGGCAGTTTGGGGAAGTCTGGATGGGTAAGGACCAATGGCTAGAGACCACAGGGTAAAGGGGTGGAGGACAGGGATAGGAGAGGGGAGAAAGATGGCATTCACTTCCTTCCAGGAACACCCTGAGGCAAAGTGGGAATGGTGGGGATGCTGTCCAGGAGGAGATTTGAATAATAACCACAAAGGAGTAATTCCTCTGATAGCAAACCAAATTGTCCTATCCATGCAAAACTTGGTTTGCCTTTGAGGCCAGACCTCTCAGGGTCAAGAACTTCCTTCTGAGAAGCAGGAATCTTGGATGGGGACTCCTTTCCCTCCAATGGAGCTGGGATAGTCTACTCTACTAGTTTGGGTTTGAGATAACAGAGGTCTCTTGGAATGATGAAAACTAAGAATGAGGAAATGCAGCTTGCAGATTTCCAGGGGAGTTCAATGTTGGCAACCTTTGAGTAAGCTTTTCTGAGCACCTACTGTTTGCCCAGTCCTGCACTGCGGCATCATGAGGCACCAGAAAGGTATATTTCACCCCTGCCACCCTCCCCCAGTAAGTTAAGAACAGTGCTGCTGGTGAGCAGGGTCGTAGGGTAGAGGCTATGCACAAAAGTGCCTGGCACACCCACTATATTTACACCCCACAGTGTTCCAAGTGGGAGCAAAAGCAGCTTACAGAGACGCAAACAATACAGCCAGACAAAATTAATTTAAAATCCACATATTTCAACTCCATGTATTCAGAGCCTCTGATAGGCCAAGCACTGAATAGGATAATGTGGCAAAGAGAAAGTAAGGGAAGAGAAGATAGGTTTGAGTGATGAGACTGGATAACAATAAATATTATGTAAGGCCTTAGACCCTTAATAGAGGAAGACCACTTATTTGGATACGAGCTTCCTGGCAACCAAAGCAAAGATGGAAACACATGCAATTATGGGATTTACAGCATCCATGATACGAAGCAATGATGGAGTAAGGCTAGGGAACAGATTATATAAAGTCTCCATGGTGAGAAGGGGAGTTGGGTGCTTGAGGGACTGAGTGACTTACATGGTGATTGGCGCATACAAGACAAGAGGGAATTTGGTGGATAGTGAGACTGGAGAGGTTGTAGGGCCAGATCATGCAAGGCCTTATGGGCCATGATGAGTCTGGTATTTATTTCAAGAGCTTAAAGCATTTTAAGCAAAAGTGATGTGTGTGTGTGTGTGTGTGTGTGTGTGTGAGAGAGAGAGAGAGAGAGAGAGAGGGAAAGAGAGTCTGAGCTGTGTTTTAAGGATATTTGTTAACCCTTATAACAGACCTTCAAAGGGAATGCTTATTATTCTTTCTTTGTAAATGAGAAAATCAAGGCTCAGAGAGGTTAAATGATGGGCTCAAGGACACACAGCCAGGAGATGGTAAACCAGTCTTCCAACCCACATTCCATACCTCTCTAAGGGCTGAGAAGGATGGAGAAGGCAGACCCACAGTTGGGCCTTCCCAGGCTGTAAGAAGAAACAGAGGATTCTTATCACCTTTCCTGCTCCTTATGCCCTTCAGCCACCTACAACAAACACACCAAGGTGGCCGTGAAGACAATGAAGCCGGGGAGTATGTCGGTGGAGGCCTTCCTGGCAGAGGCCAACCTGATGAAGACTCTGCAGCATGATAAGCTGGTGAAGCTGCACGCAGTGGTGACGGAGGAGCCCATCTACATCATCACGGAGTTCATGGCCAAAGGTGCGACACTCTGGGGGGCTGGGATGCAGGCTGTGGCCTCAAAGCTGGGGACTCAAAGCTTGACATGTCTCTAGCCCTCAAGGTGCACCTAATCTAGCTCAGAAGCTCTATTGACAAACTCATTGAGTACCTTAAGATGCAACCACACCCAACCCTCCTGGGTAATGGGGTGAAATCATGTTAAGGGGAGAACATAAGGCCCCCAGAAGAGGGGAGTGGGGGCAGAGCCCCCCTGGTAATGGGAGAAGAGGCTTATGGATTCACTGGGAGCCTATAGAGGCCAGAGTGACTTTGTCCCTTACCATCCTCTTCCCTGCAAGCACCAGTGCCCTGGGAAAGAGCCTCCACTATTTCCAGACTACCACTACCCTCTGCTGCAATGCAGAATTTCTCAGAGATTTTTTTTTTTTTAGGCCACCGTTTCACAGCCATTTTCAACCCCTGCCCATTTTTGGATATTTGGATAAACAGCAACATCTCACACAGCTCATTGAATATGATTTAAAATCTCAACTTTTTTTTTTTCATTTCCTAAATACACAATTATACCAGCTTCATAAAGCCATGGCCCCAGGTATCCAGGCTCAAGGAAAAAAAAAAAAAAAAAACAGTCTCAGTCAAAGAACCAGTCTAGCAATCAAAAAGCCATGTCAAAATCACTCAAATCCTATTTCTCAAATGCTGGGAATGGTAGATAAGTGTTTATTTAAATCCATTGCTGTGAACAATTTGAATCACATACTAAGATGCTAAGAGTCGTGTAACGTTCCCTCCCCCATTCCCACACAGGAAGCCTGCTGGACTTTTTGAAAAGTGTAGAAGGCAGCAAGCAGCCCTTGCCCAAGCTCATTGACTTCTCAGCCCAGGTGAGAGTCTAGTGGGGAACAGGTGGGAAGAGGAGGAGAAATGTCTGTATTTATTCAATGGATATTTACTGAACACACACGATAATAACAGCTAGCATTTATTCAGTACTCAGGAGGTGCCCTCCTTTTTGTATGCACCTTACACACATTAGGCTCCTGGGTAGAACAAAAGGTTTGTGCTCTATTAACCTATAGATTGATGGTTCAGACTCACCCAGCTGTGCTGTGGAAGAAAGACCTGGTGATCTACTTCCATAAAGATTACAGCCAAGAAAACCCTGTGGGTAACACATGGGTCACCATGAGTCGGAACTGACTTGACAGCAACAAGTTTTCTTTCTTTTTTGGTTACATATACTAACTCATTGAATCCTCACATCAACCTTATGAGGTAGGGGTTTTTGTTATCTATTCTTGTGTAACAAACCCTCTAGAACTTGGTAGCTTAAAACAATAGCAATTTATCATTGCTTTTGATTCTGTGGGTTGACTGGGGTTGGCTCAGTGGTTCTTCCTTTCCAAGCAGTGAAGCTGAGATTACTCATGCAGATACATTCTAGACAGCTCCTCATCCTCCCAGGGCTCTTTCTTCATGGCCTCTCAACTCTCAGGAGTCTAACCCGAGCTCCTTACAGTGTGGCCACTAGGTTCCAATGGGAGTGTTCCAAGAGGCCAGGCTCTAATGTGCCAGTGCTTATCAAGGCCCTGATTGCATCACATTCACTGGTTTGGCCAAAGCAAGTCACATGACCAAACCCAGACTCCCCAAGGGCATAAACACCAGGAGGCATGGTTCACTGGGGGCCATCAATGTAACAGCCTGCTAGTTAGGGAATTATCATCTCGTTTTACACAATAGGAAATTAAGGCATAGAGAAGTTGAATACAGATGAAGAAACTGAGGCACAGTAAGGTTAAGTGGCTTGTCTGAGTTACTGTGCTGGTTACAGAGGATGCAACAGGTAACAAAACGGAAAAATATCCCTGTCCTCACAATGTACAGTCCAGATAAGAAAATAGATATTAAATGACTGAATTGCTTAGAGAGACATGAGCCTAGTGGTCCTGGCTCAAAGTCTGGAAAATACAGTGTCCAATAAAATATATAGTGTACACAAATCAGAAACATGCCTTACAATTCTCCTTTCTTTCTCATCTTCTTCCTCTCACTCTCTACAGCTCCTTTTCCCCCAACCTGATTGTTACTTCTCTCCTGTCCGATTCCCTCTCTCTCTCTCTCTCTCTCTCTCTCATGTCTGTGTGAAAATCAGGAGGAAAGGGTGCATGGGACTGCACAGCTGGAACATTTAACCTGATCCAAGAGCAATGAGAGGACTTCAGAGAAGTGACATCTAGACTGAGCCTTGAAGAAGGAGTAGAAGTTAGGTAGATGAAGAGGAGAGGGGAGGGTGTTTTGGGCAGAAGAAACAGCAAGTACAAAAGCCAAAAATGGGTGAACTTGGCCTGTTCACCTTGAGCTGAAGGGTACCCTGGATGAAGGAGTTGTGATTTGTAGCCCAGTGGGAGTTCAGGGAAACCGGTGCCTGGACCTAGGACTGGGCCTTCTGGAGACACCAAGGACAGAGTTCATTTAACTATGCGAATCCCAGGGCCCAACAAGGTGTAATGAAAAGGTCTGCCTACAGAGCCTGGAACTCAAGGTGGGGGTGTGAGATGGAAATCAAGATCTGGTATTCTCACCCCAGTGGACCCTGTTGCTCCTATGGAAATCATAGCTGGCCTGTTGCCAAATTATACCCGTAAGTTAGCAGAAACTTTGTTGGAGTCAGGGTCGTGGAACAAGAGCAGAGTTACTCTCCCCATTTCATAGATGAGAAAATGGAAACCAAGGGAGAGAAAGAAGGTCCAGGCCTTTGAACATCCAGAAACAGAGGGGAATTCAGAGCCCAAGGACATGGAGACACAAACCTGGGAACCTGGTGTTCACCTCTAGTCCCAGAGAAAGGGATGGATGTGGTGGGAAGGTGCCCCAGCCCTGTCACCAACTGGATGTATGTATGACCTCATACTCCACTGTTGGTCTCAGTCTCCCTGTATGTGAGATGAGGGAATTGGACCACATTTGTGGTTCTTCAAATCTGAAAGCTTTTTTAGCCACTACTTCATTGGCCAAATGAAATCTTATGTATAGTAACTGAATGTGTGTGTGTGAGTGTGTGTATGTATGTGAAAACAGAGCTGCTGTGATTGAAGTTGGATGGTGAGCCCCACATGTGGCCTTTGTTTTGTCTCTTCACCCCTAGACAGCCCAGAGGCATCAGTAGGATTCAAATCAAAGAGCCCTGGGCTGGAATATCCCTACAGACCCTTCCAGCTGTGATTCTGTGATTTCCAGATATTCTTGGAAGCAACTCCAAGTTCCAATGCCTGATATCATGGCACCCTGCTTGGTGGTCATAAAATCTCACCACTTCATCAATGCCCAATTCTTAGACCAACCCTGGGCTCAGTAAACCAATCCATTGAAGCACTTACTGATGAAGATCAAAGACTATAGCTTTCAGTGTGGATTATACCTCAGCACAAAGAAAACAAGAATTCTCACACTGGACCAATAAGCAACATCATGATAAATGGAGAAAATACTGAAGTTGTCAAAGATCTCATCTTACTTTGATCCACAATCAGCACCCATGGAAGCAGCAGTCAAGAAATCAAACAACATGTTGCATTGGGCAAATCTGCTACAAAAGACCTCTTTAAAGTGTTAAAAAGCAAAGATTTCACTGTGAAGGCTAAGGTGCACCTGACCCAAGTCATGGTCTTTTTAATAGCCTTACATGCATGTGAAAGCTGGACAATGAATAAGGAAGAGTGAAGAAGAATTGTTCCCTTTGAATTACAGTGTTGGCGAAGACTATTGAAACTGCCAGAGGAATGAACAAATCTATCATGGAAGAAGTTCAGCCAAAATGCTCCTTGGAGGTGAGAATGGCCAGACTTCATCTTTCTTACCTTGGACCTGTTGTCAGGAGGAACCAGTCCCTGGAGAAGGACATGATGCTTGGTAAGGTACGGAGTCAGCAAAAAAGAGGAAGACCTTCAACAAGATGGATTAACACAGTGGCTGCAACAATGGGCTCAAACAGCAAGGATTGTGAGGATGGTCCATGGCTGGGCAGTATTTCATTCTGTTTTACATAGGGTTGCTGTTGTTGTTGTTATGTGCCGTTGAGTGGGACCCGATTCATAGCGACCCCTCCTTGGGTTTCCGAGGTAGTTATCACTACGGAAGTAGATTGCCCAACCTTCCTTCTGAGGAGTGGCTGGTGGGTTTGAACCGCCAGCCTTCTGGTTAGCAGTCAAGTGCCTTAGGCACTATGCTACCAGAGCTTCCATAGGGTTGCTATGAGTCAGAATTTACTGGACAGCACCTCACAACAACAATCTTCACAGAAGAAGAAAGCCAGGTCTTTTCTCCCATGGAGTGGCTAGTGGGCTTGAACCTCCGAGCTTTCTGTTAGCAGCCAAGCACTTAACTATTGCGCCATGAGGGCTCCTTGAAAACAGTAGTTTTCCTCCAAAACGCAGAGTAAATGCTGCAGAAGTGCTCCTTAAGTATCATCTTATTACAAATGAATACGCTATAACATTTGTCCTTACCATAACAGCTGCTGATAACTGTTTGTCTAAGGACTCCTTATGAGTTTCCCATACTGCCCCCCACGCTAAGACCCTGTCTCACTTCACAACCTCGTCCCCCTGCCACAGACAAAATCAGAAAATCACTTTCAAAGCCTGGTGCTTAGGACTTCAGTACTGACGGCCATGGGTGCCCCCTCCTGGCTATTCCTTGAAAGCGCACCTTGGGCCTTGAGGCAGCTGGTGCCTTGATTGGTCAGTCTAGCCAGGTTCAGCTTCACCTCCCTCCCCCACAACCTCCCAGATCATCTCACCTGACTGCGCTCAGCCATGGTCCGGGAGAGCACTGCTGTTCTGGTTCCCGTAGAGGCAGCATCGGACTCTAAATTACCAACCTGCAGCCCAGTCTGAGCCTGACTTTCAGCATTTCCATGGTGGTATGATCTGGAACAATGTTCCATCTCCTGTAAAACAGGGATCATGATAGCGCCAGCTCAGGGCCTCACAGGCCACTTTGTAAATTATGAGTACTTTTTGGTGGGTCTCTGAGGGTTGATCTGAAACTTCTTTTATCCAAACCCTTGTAAGTGAAAATCTTTCCAAGGCATAATCCCACGTCTCTCTTTCAACTCTCCCAGGGCCCTGTGGTAAATAAGCTAACTAGAAGGTTGGCGGTTCAAACCCACCAGCCACTCCTCGGAAGGAAGACTGGGCAATCTACTTCCGTAGAAATACTGCCTCAGAAACCCAAGGAGGGGTGGCTATGACTCGGAGACGATTTGACGGCACATAACAACAACAACAACATACAATCTATTATTCCACTCGCAGCCACGGTGATCTTAAAATACCCCTCACATCATGTCACGTTCCAGCTCAGAGCCTTCTAAGTTCCCCTCATCATGCTCAGAATAAAATCCATCTTCCTCACCTGGCCTACAAGGCCCTGTGTGATCAATCCTGCCTCCTCCTCAACCTCAACTTCCCCCACTCTCCCTGTGGCATCCTCTACTCAGCCACTCCGACCTCCTTGATGGTCCATGAACGGTCAAGCTCATTCCCACCGCCAGCCCTTTGCACTTGATGTTCTCGCTGCCTGGTATGTTATTATGACCACTCTGATCTTTGCTACAACTTCACCTCCTCATAGCCTTTAATGACTCAATCCAAAAAAGCCCTCTGTCCTTCATGTATCATTATTCTGCTTTATTTTCTCCTTTACGGTACCTAGCACCACTGCAAGGACTCCTTAATGCTTCAACATCTGTTCAAGCAACATGACTAACACCCACAAGACACTCATGAGCTATTTGTTGAATGAATTAATGAACTTTCTCTACCCAGGCTTGGGGATGAAGAAGGTATAAGAAGTACAGCAGAAATATAACATGAGCCTAGGTTGTCTCTGGAAAGGGGGTTTGGGAATGGAAGTTCTTCATAGCATCCTGGTGTGTGTGTGAGACAGAGATATTATTTACTTCTTCCTCTTCCCAATAAGTCCTGGAGAAATGAACCCATCTCTTTTCCCTTGAGAACTTTTCACAGTGCTCTCTGTAAGCCTTGGAACTTCAGAGAAGCCCCCAAACTGACCCAGGCCCTGAGGGTCTCCCCAACATCACATGACCTGGATGAATAGACAGAGAAATGCCAGCTTAAGGACAAGGCCCAACTGAAAGAAAAGGGGGAGATGGTGCATGCTTTCTGGTTTTCTCTCACTTGGGTGCTCCTTTTCTTCTTTTTGGTGGGATGGGCTTGGGCTAGGCTGAGTCTGAGGATGTGGTTGTCTCTGTTTTGGGTGGAGATTGCAGAAGGCATGGCATTCATCGAGCAGAGGAACTACATTCATCGAGACCTTCGAGCCGCCAACATCTTGGTCTCTGCATCCCTGGTGTGTAAGATTGCCGACTTCGGCCTGGCACGGATCATTGAGGACAATGAGTACACGGCTCGCGAAGGTGAGGAGTGCTAATGGTGCCCACTTGGCAGGGCTGTAAGTGTTGAGAGTTAATGCTTGTGAAAGTGATCTGTAAAATTCAAAGATCTATCCCTGTATTAACTTGTATCATGAAGCTTCTGGGTGTAGAATCCTGGACTTAAGACTCTCTCCCAGTGGCTTCAAAAGAGATATTTCAGACAAGGTAGAGAACTGCAGATCAATTTTAGACATAGTCAAAGCAAGTGCATGTTGAAATAAAAAATAAGAGCAACTTAATGTATCATTGTCAAAAACTGGGAAGAATCCAGATATCCATGAACATTAGAATGGATATACAAATGGTGGTATATGGTGTAATGAGATAAAATACCATGCAACAGTGACAATGTACAAGTGACTGCTATGTGCAACAAGCTGAACCACTCTCACAGATGCAGTATCAAAATGAAAGAAATCAGACAAAAAAAAAAAGAGTTACATGGTTTCATTTACAAGAAATTCAAAAAAGGGAAAATTATATATGAATATTCATGGCAGCATTATTCATAACAGCCCAAAAGTGGAAACAAAACCAAATGTCCATCCATGGATGAAGGGATAAACAAAATGTTGTATATATCCATGTGGTGGACTTTATTTAGCCATACAAATAAATGAAGTTCTGATACATGCTGTGACATGGATGAACCTTGACAATGTTGTGCTAACTGAAAAAAAAGACAGTCACAGAAGACCACATAGTGTATAATTACATTTATATGACATGTGCAGATTAGACAAATCTGTAGAGACAGAAGGGTGGTGCAGTGCCTAGGTGCTTGGCTGCTAACCAAAAGGTTGGTGGTTCAAACCTACCAACTACTCTGTGGAAGAAAGATGTGGCAGTCTGCTTCCATAAAGATTTATAGCTTTGGAAACCCTTTGGTGCAGTTCTACTCTGTTCTTTAAAGCCACTGAGTCAGAATCAACTCAATGGCAATGAAGTTTTTATAGAGACAGAAAGTAGATTAGTGGTTGCAAGGGGCTGTAGGGGTTGGGGAGAAATGGGAGTGACTTCTAATGGATTCAAGGTCCTTTTGGAATTATGTTCTCTGCCCACTCCACCCCACTTTAGCCATCTGTCACCAGAATGGATATGGATGTTCCTTGATTCCACAGGGGTGCCAGAATGTGCAAAATCATAGTTCTGCAGAGGGCAGATTTTGGCAACCGTCACCCCTGTAATGTCCCCTCAGCTAGCCTGACTCTTCCCCAGACTCCCCCTGATTTGCTCTGTCCAACCCTTCAGGGGCCAAGTTCCCCATCAAGTGGACAGCTCCTGAAGCCATCAATTTCGGCTCCTTCACCATCAAGTCAGACGTCTGGTCCTTTGGCATTCTGCTGATGGAGATTGTCACCTACGGCAGGATCCCTTACCCAGGTAGGAAAGGGGACATCAGCTTGGGGGTGCTTCCAGGGCCCAACCTGTCCACCTACTCTTGCCCATATGTCCATCATCCAGACTGAGTTTTTTATCCTCATCTGCAATCTCCCCTAGCCTGCTCTATCTCAAAGACAAAAATCTCATCCATTCAATTGCTTAAGCCAGAAACCTGGGACTTCCCTGACCCTTCCCTTCTACTCACCTCCTACACACAAGCACTCACATTATTCTGGTCATCTGACTCCAAAAGCTACCCCAAATATACCAACGTCTAAGTTCACAGCCTCCACCACATCAGAGTCAACATCATCTCTCACTTGGCTGGTGTAGTGGCCTCCTAAACGGTGTCCCTGCTTTTGCTCCTGTCTCCTACTGTCTAGATGTCTAGATCCGACATGCAGCCAGAGGGATCTTTATAAACTGTGAATCTCATCCTTTCTTCCACATCTAACACTTTAATGATCTCACATTATAATTAGGATAGAATCCCAAACCTTCAGGACCTTTGGATTCTAGCCCTGCCTCCCTTTCCAGCTCCATCTCGTGCTATACCCCATCACCCAGTCATCTAAAGTACCATACATCTGCCTTGTTATTCTCTCTCATAATAGTGTATAATGTTTCACTTATAATATTTGTCATGATTTATAGCGAGGTGTTTGTTTAGTATATTCCCCATCGGTTTCTGAGCTCCATGAGGCCAGATACATTATCAGTATTCCTCCCAAGTGTATCCACAGTGCCAACCTCTGGCACATGGTGGGTGCTCTGGTAGCATAGTGGCTAAAGCACTTGACTGCTAACCAGAAGGCTGGCGGTTCAAACCCACCAGCCACTCCTCGGAAGGAAGGTTGGGCAATCCTACTTCCGTAGTGATACTGCCTCGGAAACCCAAGGAGGGGTCGCTATGAGTCGGGGGTCGACTTGACGGCACATAACAACAACAACCCAAGTGTATCCACAGTGCCAACCTCTGGCACATGGTGGGTGCTTAGTAACTATTTATTGAATGGGCTAATTTATCCTCATGTCTATGGGTAGCACCCACACTGAATATATCATAGTAGTTATACAAAGATGTACTCAACATGTAGAACGATTGGGGCTCATAAACAATGTCTCGTCCCTTTTTCAGTTGGGACATCTGCTGGGATATTTTTAGCTAGAGTACCAGGGAGAGGGAGGCAAGGCCAAATGTAGAGAGTCCCTGGCTTTACATCCCAAATTTGAATCAGGTCCTCATCAATTACAGTGAAACCTGTGAGATCCAGAACTTGATGGGACTGCCTTGTTTTTCCGGATCTTGCAAGTTTTCTGCCTTTGAAAGGGTGCAGTCTTTTGACTTTTCTATCGCACATTTTAGTGGAAAACGTTTGCATTTTCCTTCTCTGACAGGCTCCAAGTTTTGCAGATTTTGTTGTATTACGTCTTGAGAAATTCACTTTGCTTTTCATACCCTGGTATTTGCACCTGTAACTATAATGGAGGTAATTATACCTACCTTGCAGAGGTGTTTGTGAGGATTAGAAATAAGAGATACAGACATTTGGTTCATTCAACAGTATTTACTGAATCCCTACTTTGTGTTGGGCTCCAAGGATACAGTGGTACCTGCTCAGAAGGAGCTCGTGTGCATAAGGTGCTCACGGTCCAGCCTGGAGGTAACAGACAAACAAACACTCTCAGATGGACATGACTGCTGAGGAGAGAACATAAAGTGGGGGATGTGGGAGGGTGTGACCTAGGACTCTACAGGTAGGATCCCTGTATGAGCAGGTTATAGTTAAGCTGAAAGTAATGATCCAGGAAAGGATTCCAGGTAGAAGACAGTGCTAGTTCCTAGGACCTGCAGTGTCTGAAGAATAGCAAGGTGGCTGGAAACAGTCAATGAGAGCAGAGTGGTCAGTGATAAGGTCAGTGGGGACAGATCAGGCAGATGTGGATGTTAGTCTAAAGAAATAGGAAGCCATTAGAGCATTTCAGGCAGAGAAGTGACATCATCTGATGCCCATTTTTAAATGATGATCTGGTTCAGCGTGGAGAATGGACTAGGGGGCAAGAATGGAGGTTCCAGGAGCAGTGGCCTAAGTGAGAAGTGGTGGTGGCCTGAATAGGGTGGTAGTACTGGTAACAGAGACAAATGGGTGAATTGGTGATACATTTCAAGAAGAGAAAGTTTGGCTTATTGACGTAGGAGATGAAGGAAAGAGAAGAATCAAGGATTACTCTCCTGATTTTTATTGATTTTAATTGAACAATTGGTAGATGGCAGTCGGGGGGTGGAAACTGAAGAGTTCTATTGTAGCCACTACTACTCATTTGTCAGTTTGTTGTACTGTCATTGCTTGCATGTTGCTGTGATCCTGGAAACTATTGGTATTTCAAACACCAGCAGGTTCACTAATGATGGCCAAGTTTCAGTGGAGCTTCCAGATTAAGACAGATCATGAAGAAGGACCCAGAAATCTACTTCTGAAAAATATTGGCCAGGGAAAAACTTATGAATGGCCATGGAATACTGTCTGATGTGATACCAGAAGATGAGCCCCTAAGGTTGGATGGCACCCAAAATACAAGTAGGGAAGAGCTGCCTCCTGAAATTAGAATTGATCTTAATGGGACCTTCATTTGCTGATGTAGCATAACTCAAAATGAGAAGAAACAGCTGCAAACATCCAATAATAATCAGAATGTGGAATACATGAAGTACGAATCTAGAAATATTGAAAGTCATAAAAAATGAAATGGAATACATAAGGATCAGTATCCTAGGCATTAGTGAGCTGAAATGGACTGGTATTGGCCATTTTGAAACTGAAAATCATATGGTCTACTATGCTGGGAATGACAAACTGAAGAGGAATGACATCACATTCATTGTCAAAAAGAACATTTCAAGATTTATACTGAAGTACAACACTGTCAGTGATAGGATAATATCTATACACCTACAAGGAAAACCAGTTAATACAACTACTATTCAAATTTATGCACCAACCAGTAGTACCAAAGATGAGGAAATTGAAGTTTTTTTTTTTTTTTAACCAAATTCTGCAGTCTGAAATTGATCAAATATGCAATCAGGATGTGTTGATAATTATTAGTGATTGGAATGCAAAAATTGGAAACAAAGGAAAAATAGCTGAAAAATATGGCCTTGGTAATAGAAACAACACAAGAGATCACATGACAGAATTTTGCAAGACCAACTTACTCATTGCAAATACCTTTTTTCAACAACATCAAACAGTGAGTATACACATGGACCTCATTGGATGGAATATACAGGAATCAAATCAATAACAGGTGTGAAAAGAGACAATGGAGAACCTCAATAGTCAGAGTAATGCCAGGTGCCAATTGTGCAACCATTACTTGCTTATATCCAACTTCAAGTTGAAGCTGAAGCAAATTAAATCAAGTCCATGAGAGCCAAAGTACAAACCTGAGTAAATCCGACCTGAATTTAGAGACCATGGTGAGAATAGATTTGACAACTGAACACTCAATGTGTCAAAGACCAGATGAGTTGTGGGATGATATCAAGAACATCATGGACAAAGATAGTAAAAGATCATTAAGAAGACAGGAGAGAAATACAACACCAAAATAGATGTCAGAACAGAATCTAAAAGTTACTCTTGAACATAGAATAGGTATAAGTGAAAGGAAGAAATGATTAAATAAAAGAGCTTAACAGAAGATTTCAAAGCGCAGCTTGAGAGGACAAAGTATTATAATGAAATGTGCAAGGACCTGAGCAGTTGGTGATAGGTCAGTGGGAACTAGATTATGCAGGTCTCACCCATGGCCATTCTTAGAAAGCCATAAGGGCTCCAGGAATAACGGAATACCAACTAAGATGTTTCACCTAACAGACACAATGCTAGAAATGCCCACTGACTTATACCAAGAAATTTGGAAGACAACTACATGGCCAACAGACCAGAAGAGATTCATGTTTGTGGTACCTATCCCAAAGAAGGGGGCTCTGGTAGCATAGTGCCTAAGGCACTTGACTGCTAACCAGAAGGCTTGTGGTTCAAACCCACCAGCCACTCCTCAGAAGGAAGTTTGGGCAATCTACTTCCGTAGTGATACTGCCTCAGAAACCCAAGGAGGGGTCACTATGAGTCAGGTCTGACTCAATGACAAATAACAACAACATTCCAAAGAAAAGTGATCCAACAGAATATAGAAATTATTGAACAATATCATTATTATAAATTTTGATGAAGATAATTCAAAAATGGTTGTAGCATTATATCAACAAAGAATTGCTGGAAATTCAAGCTGGGTTCAGAAGAGGACATGGAACAAAGGATATCATTGCTCATGTCAGATGGATCATGGCTGACAGCAGAGAACACTGGAATGATTCTTACCTGTGTTTTATTGACAATGCAAAGGTATTCGACTGTGTGGATCATAACAAATTATGGATAATATTGCAAAGAATGGAAATTCCAGAACACTTAATTGTGCTCATGAGGAACCTGTATAAAGACGAAGAGGCAGCTGTTTAAACAGAACAAGGGGATACTATATGGTTTAAAATCAGGAAAGGTATGCATCAGTGTTGTATCCTTTTACCACCTTTATTCAGTCTGTATGCTGAGCAAATAATCCAAGAAGCTAGACTATATGAAGAAGAACATGACATCAGGATTGGAGGAGAACTCATTAACAACTTGCAATACGCAGATGATACAACATCACTTGCTGAAAGCAAAGAGAATTTGAAGCACTTATTGTTGAAGATCAAAGACTACAGTCTTCAGTATGGATTATACCTCGACATAAAGAAAACAAAAGTCTTCCCAACTTGACCAATAAGCAACATTATGACAAATGGAGAAAATATTGAAGTTGTCAAGGGTTTCATTTTACATAGGTCCACAATCAAAAGCCATGGACGCAGCAGTCCATAAATCCAATGACATATTGCATTGGGCAAATCTGCTGCAAAAGACCTCTTTAAAGTGTTAAAAAGCAAAGATGTCAATCACTCTGAAGACTAAGGGGCGCCTGACCCAGACCACGGTATTTTCAATCGCCTCATATGCATGTGAAAGCTGGACAATGAATAAGAAAAACCAAAGAAAAGTTGATGCATTTGAATTATGGTGTTGGGAAAGAATATTGAATATACCCTGGACTGCCAGAAGAACAAATAAATCTGTCTTGGAAATACGGCCAGAATGCTCCTGAGCAGTGAGGATGGAGGGACTGCATCTCATGTACTTTGTGTATGTTATCAGAAAGAAGCAGTCCTGGAGGAGTACATCCTGCTTGCAAAAGTAGAGGGTCAATAAAAAAGAGGAACTCCCTCAGTGACATAGGCTGTCACAGTGGGTGCAACAGTGGGCTCAAGAATAGCAACGATTGTGAGGATGGTGCAGGACTGGGCAGTGTTTCATTCTGTAGGGTCACTGTAAGTCAGAAACAACTCAGTAGCACCTAACAACAATATTGTAGTCATGTTACATTAAAGTGACTCATAGATATCCACGTAGAAATGTTCAAGGACATACTTGGATATATGAGTTTGGAGTTCAAGACTGATTATATAAATTGAGGATCATAGACATTCAGATGGTTGTCATTATGTATAACAAACATGAACTTATATTGAATGAGAAAATGGTCCCATTCATAGGGACACATTGAGCCTGGGCACCTATTTGGTCTTGAGAGTACACCAGTAAAAACCAAGCAATGAGTTATGGAACCATGTAACCATTAGGATGCATTATTTGCAAGTAACAAAATAAAGGCTAAGAGTGGCTGAAACAATAAGCAATTTATTCTCCATAATAGTAAGCCTGGCATAAGTGACTGTTAGTTCAGCAGCTCCGCAACTATCAGGGATCTGAGTAATTCCTCTCTATCTTCCCATGTGGTCAGATGGCTCCTGGCTCCAAGTAGCACATCCTCTCACAGCTCCCAAATAAGGAAGGAATGATGTTTGCTTCAAAGCCTCTCACTTGTTTGTGTGTGTGTGTGTGTGTGTGTGTGTGGTAAAATACACAAAAACAAGTAAAGAAATAAGCCAATCTAACAATTTCTACATAAACAATTCAGTGATACTGATTACATTCTTCAAGTTCTGCGACCATCCTATCCTTTTCCAAATTATTCCAGCACCATTAACATAAACTCAATTCCAAAGCCTCATTTTTAATCAAGTAAGAAAACCTTTCCTGAAAATCCCCCAGCACACCTCCTCTCAGCCTCCATTGGCCAAAGTTGGGTCCCCTGACTTAGATGCAAGGGAGGCTGGGGAAATGTGCATCTGGCTTTTACAATGGGATGGGGTTTAGCTCTCAAGATGAGGTGGGGGGGATGGCTGCCATGGAAACAACAGTATCTGCCCGTTCCCAAATCCCCTTCTCAGGGATGTCAAACCCTGAAGTGATCCGGGCACTAGAACGTGGGTACCGGATGCCTCGACCGGAGCACTGTCCTGAGGCGCTCTACAACATCATGACACGTTGCTGGAAGAACCGCCCAGAGGAGCGGCCCACCTTTGAATATATCCAGAGTGTGCTGGATGACTTCTACACGGCCACTGAGAGCCAGTACCAACAGCAGCCGTGAGTGGACAGGGCCAGAGCAGGGCCAGAAGCAGACACTGTACCTGGGGGGTGACTCCAGCAGAGTCCGCCATTGCCCATTAACCCTTCCCACTCTCAGACACCCACTCTCTCTGCAGCCACAGTTTCTTCATCTGTCAAGTGTGTGGGTTGAACTGGAAAATAATAGCTTTTTGACTCTAGAAATCCACAATTTGTGATTCCCAGGAGACCGCAAGTTGATACTGCTAGTGCCTGGGACAGTTGAATCTTAGTCACAGCTATGGTTTGGATGGGAAACCTCAAGAATAATTAAATAAATATTTAAATAAAGTATTTTATCAACATGTTTGCTTTCTTGTCCTTCCAGTTCCCAAGTATCTATTCGCTTTTTTGCTGTACAGGAAGTCAGGAAGGAGGAAGGACCCAACCAGAGACTAGTAGTGAGAATGAGTGGCGTCTAGTGCTGGAAGTCTTCTAACTGCCTTAAAATAGTATTAACTGTATTCATTTCCTGTGACTGCTGTAACAAATTACCACAAATTTTGTGGCTTAAAACCATACAAAACTATTATCTTACAGTTCTGAAGTCTGAAAAGGGGTCAAAGTGAGCCTTGCCAGATTTCCATTTATAGACTCGAGGCAGGCTATACCCCCAAGGAGACTCCACTTTCAATTGACTGGCTGATCATATCAGATCACATCATGAAAGTGATTACATTATATTACATTGTTGTTGTTATGTGCCGTCGAGTCAGACCTGACTCATAGCGACCCTTCTTTGGGTTTCCGAGGCCGTATCTCTATGGAAGTACATTGTCCAACCTTCCTTCCAAGGAGTGGCTAGTGGGTTTGAACCACCAGTCTTCTGGTTAGCAGTCAAGTGCCTTAGGCACTATGCCACCAGAGCTCCCTTATCACATTATGAAAGAGCAATCAGTCCAATGTCTACCGAGCCACTGAGAATCATAGCTTAGCCAAGATGGCACATAACATTAACCATCACAGTCCACCCCTTATCAATTTTGCACCTATACCTATTTCCTTAAACCACGCATAATCTCCAAATAAAGATAATTAAAAAGTCATACTTGGATCTAACATGATACAACTAAAATGCATACAACTGAAAACGCAGTAACTCCTTTTACATGTTGCATTTGGTAAGGGAGGTAAGAAAACAAAGGTATTATAAATACACACACACATATAAGCATAAAACAAGAAATAAATATTGTAGTAACAATTACAGTCTTCATTTCTGCAACTGGTCACATGGTTATAGCTGGTATTTAGAACTACCTTCTTCTACTATCCACACCCATATGAGGGATATGTTGCCTCTAAAGTCCAAAGAGGCCCACCAGGCATTTTGCCTCCTTATTAGTTGTAGGAGGGCCCAGATACAACTTACCCTTCACCTTATAAGGACCATCTTAACATGACCCACACCACTGGACCACTAGAAATTTCACTGAGGTGGAAGGCACCTGAATTTTGTTGGTTTAATTTCCCACCTTATGGCATGAGAATGTCTTACCAATAAGTCTAGAGTTGTTGGCATTTCTTCCCTACTAGGTCCAATAATCATAATATCATCAGCATAATGGACCAGTGTAACATCTTGTGGGTGGGAAAGGCAAGCAAGATCCCTGTGGACCAAATTACGACAAGACTGGAGAGTTGATATACCTCCGAGGTAGGACAGCAAAGTTGTATTGCTGGCCTTGCTAGTTGAAGGCAAGCTGTTTCTGATGGTTTTTAGAAATAAATATTGAAAGAAAGGCATTGGCCACATCAGTAGCTGCATTCCAGATACCAAGAGATGTATTATTTGCTCAAGCAACAAAACCACATCTGGAACAGAAGCTGCAATTGGAGTTACCACCTGGTTAAGTTTATAATAACCCACTGTCATTCTCTAAGATCCATATGTTTTCTACATAGGCCAAATAGGTGAGTTGAATGGGATATGGTGGGAATCACCACCCCTGCATCCTTCAAGTGGTTGATACCAAAAAAAAAAAAAAAAAATTCCTGTTGAGTCGATTCTGACTCACAGCAACCCCCATTGGGTTTCCAGGGCAGTAAGTCTTTATGGAAGTAGATCATCCAGTCTTGCTTCTGCCAAGTCCTTGATAAACTTACTGCCATTGATTCGATTCAACTCATAGCAACCCCTCCTTGGGTTTCGAGGTGGTATCTCTACAGAAGTAGATTGCCCAATCTTCCTTCTGAGGAGTGGCTGGGGGGGTTGAACCACCAGCCTTCTGGTTAGCAGTCAAATGCCTGAGGCACTATACCACCAGAGCACCTAAGTTCTTGATAGTGGCTCTAATTTCTGCAATACCTCCAAAAATGTGGTATTCCTTTTGGTTTACTGTTTTCTTAGGTAGGGGCAGTTCTAACAGCTTCCACTTTGCTTCTCTACCATAATAGCCCTTACTTTACACGTCAGAGATCTAATGTGGGGCTTCTGCCAGTTGATGTGTATGTCTGTTTCAATGATGCATTCTAGAACTGAAGAAATCACTACAGGTTGGGTCCTGCAATTGTGGGAGCTGGCAAGTGCCAAATCAGTAGGTTAGGTGGCCAGCTGAAGACTTCTGCTGCTCATGTGGTTGCAGGGGCTGACACAAAATTTGCAGGTGAAGTAGCAGGCTAGGGGCCTCTGCTGGCTCATGAGGTTGTTGGGGTTGGCAAATCCAAAATATGCAGGTCAGGCAGCAGGCTGAAGACTTCTGAAGGCTTACATCCTGTCTTAGTTCTCTAGCACTGCTGTAACAGAAATACCAGAAGTAGATGGCTTTAACAAACAGAAATTTATTCTCTTAGACTTTAGGAGGTTAGAAGTCCAAGTTCAGGGTGCCAGCTCCCGGGAAGACTTTCTCTGTGTGTGTCTCTTGTTCCTAGGAGGATCCCAGTCCAGGAATCCTGGGTCCAAAGAACACGTTCCACTCCTGGCTCCTCTTCCTTGTTGGTGGTAGGTCCCCCTTCTCTGCTCCCTTCTCTTTCCTTTTATCTCTTGTAAGATAAAAAGGTGTTGCAGGCCACACCCCAGGGAAGCTTCCTACATTGGATCAGGGCTGTGATGGGACTAAAGATGTTGCAGTCCACCCTTAATCTTAATCCTTTTACACCTGATCATTTTATCACATCAGATCACATCATGGGGTATCATTACATATCTGCCACATTACAGCATTTCATAACTTATGAACCACTGAGAATCATGGCCCAGCCAAGTTGATAAAAATTTTAGGCAGACACAGTTCAATCCAAGAATTCAATCCAGGACACAATTCAATCCAAGAACTAGAGATCAGGCAACAAGAAGAGTGCAGGGTCAAGAAAGAGAGTGAGCCTTGCCAGATATCCATTTATATACTGGAGAGAGGCCATACCCCCCAAGGAAATACACTTTTTAATTGATTGGCTGATTGCATCAGAGCATATCATGCAGACAGTTGCATTGTATTACATTGCTGTTGTTGTTCTTGTTAGTTGCTGTCAAGTTGGCTCTGACTGATCCCAACCCCATGTATAACAAAACAAAACACTGCCCAGTCCTGCGCCATTCTCACAGTCCTTGCTATACTTGAGCCCATTGTTGCAGCCACTGTGTCAATCCATCTCCTTGAGGGTCTTCCCCTTTTTCATGGATCTTCTGCTTTACCAAGCATGACATCCTTCTCCAGGGACTGGTCCCTTCTGACCAAAGTAAGTGAGATGAAGTCTGGCCATTCTTGTTTCCAAGGAATGTTCCAGCTGCATGTCTTCCAAGATGGATTTGTTAGTTCTTCTGACAGTCCATAGTATTTTCAGTATTCTTCGCCAACACCACAGTTGGAAGGCATCAACTCTTCTTTGGTCTTGCTTATTCATTCTCCAGCTTTCACATGCGTATGAAGTGACTGAAACAAACAAACAAACATGGTTTGGGTTAGGTGAACCTTAGTCATCATAGTGACATCTTTGCTTCTTAACATTTTAAAGAGGTCTTTTGCAGCACATCTGCCCAGTACAATACGATGTCTGATTTCTTGACTGCTGCTTCCATGGGAGGAGCTCTGGTAGCGTAGTGCCTAAGGCATTTGACTGCTAACCAGAAGGCTGGTGGTTCAAACTCACCAGCCACTCCTCAGAAGGAAGATCCGGTAATCTACTTCCATAGTGATACCGCCTCAGAAACCCAAGGAGGTGTCGCTATAAATCGGACCTGACTCAACAGCAGTGAGTTTGGTTTTTTTCTCGGTTGGCTTCCATGGGTGTTGATTGTGGATCCAAGTAAAATGAAATCCCTGACAGCTTCAATCTTTTCTCCATTTATTGTGATACTGCCTATTGGTCCAGTTGTGAGAACTTTTGTTTTCTTTATGTTGTGGTGTAATTCATACTGAAGATTGTGGTCTTTGATCTTCATCAGTAAGTGCTTCACATCATCTTCACTTCCAGGAAACAAGGTTGTGTCATCTGCATGTCACAGGTTGTTGTTACTACATTACAGAAGAGCAATCAGTCCAGTTATCTGCCAAACCACTGAGAATCATAGCCTAGCCAAGGTGACACTTAACATTAACATCACAGAATCCATTGCTGCTGAAATCCTAGAGTCTGGAGATGTGGCTGCTGAAATACACCTGGTACCCTGCTTGGGAGGCTCTCACATAGGAGGGGAGGGAGATCTGGAAGAAAGCAGAGAAGATAAGGAGGTGGTGTGTACTACCTGCATGTTGCCTCAGCTGAAGATCCCTAGAAGTTAGCTTCTGTCACAGAGGATAAAAAGGAAAGGGGGTCAGTGGAATGAGAAGGAAATGGTACCTTTCTATATTATTGCATCCCCTCAAGGATCTACATCACAGCACCTTCCAGTGTCCCATGGAACTACTATATTGAATTGATTCTGTCCTTGCAAGTAGGGCTGGGATCTAACCTTACTGGGTGTAAGAGCAAAACCAAAAAAAAAAAAAAAAAAAAAAACCAAAAACCCACTGCCATTGAGTCGATTCTGACTCATAGCAACCATCATTGGATTTCCAAGACAGTAAATCTTTACAGAAGTGGAAGTAGATTGCCCCATCTTCCTTCCATGGAGCTGGTAGGTTTGAACTGCCAACCCTCTGGCACTGCACCACCAGAGCTCCTTGGGTGTAAGAGCAGTAGGAGATAAAAGTAACCATGTTTCAATTTACCGAGCTAGTGACCGAATTTCTCTCTTGCTCCACGGTTTGGGATGTTTTGGTATCTAGTTTGGGTCTTTGGGTATTTGAAGGCGGAACCCAGGGTGCTGTGACTGGAATTAGCACTTGTGATTTTTATTTGGACTATGATTC